AATTTTAACATAATTACTAAACTGACATTCGTGTTGGGCCCGAACTGTAGCGAGTGACCGGCGAAGGCTGTGATTGATAATAACATTTTATTCATGAAATATAGGTACATGATAGGGTGTAGAGTAGACTATACAATATATCCTACTAATATTACAAAATATGCAAATGTTCGATATTCATTATAAGGTTAAATAAATTAAAAGAAAAACACGAAATGGTGTAAAATTATTTGCTTAGTACAAAATTTACTAAGATTTAGTCAAATTCTTCTGTTAACATAATTATAGCATAGTTTCGATATCGTTCAGTATTTAAGTTAATGTCGTTAATTATTTAATAACTAGTTCTAATTTTGTAGTATAAAGTGTTATTCTTTTTGGTTAGACAAAAGGGAGTTTTTGAATAAGAGATTTTCGTGTTATTGTGGTTGTGCCTATATTTTGGTGCTTACGAGTCACGTCCTTCCGCAATATGCTTATAATGTTGAAAGTGCTTGAAACGGCGATCGAGGCTTTTTTGTTATTTTGACTTTTTCGGTTAGTTATTGAATAAGACGAAACATACCTCATCTTTACAAAAAATATTTTGTTACATTGTAATTCCCTGGATGCCAATTAATTGAACCAAAATAAAGCCTTCTAAAAATTACTTTCTCTTAAATGTCTGTAGAGTTTGATAGCATGGTTTACTCATTATTATTTATTACAGAATATGTATCGTGTAATTCGTTCTTTAGCTGCGCAGGCGATGTGCTAGTGTTGGGCCACACCCTCCCGCGTATCTACACTGTTGTCGCTAGCTATGTTGTCGAAATTTCTTTATTCCCCGTAGTCATGAATTTCCGACCGTGAGATGCGCGTTTTTGTAATAAAATCATAATTAAATCTGGCGCTCGCGTGAATTCCCTCAGATGATTTGTTTTTTAAATTTCTTATAATTTATCGCTTTGGGGTGGCCGCCAATGTAAATTGTTTCTATGGGATATAGGGAACGGGTAGGTAGGTCAACATACATTTAACGTACCTGCCTTTTAACTACCACGACAGAAAGAAAAATGTACCTAAGTATTATATTTTCCTTTTGCTAGTGTATTTAAATATGTTCAATGTATAGATAAACATTTAGAAATTTCCTCTTAAAAAACGAAAGTGTGTAGTTCGATGCCGCTTTGCTTTCTTCATATTCGGTTTTTAACCGACTTCAAAAAGAGGAGGTTCTCAATTGGACTGTATTTTTTGTATGTTTGTTTCCTCACAACTTTTCACCGAGTGAACCGATTTTGATGAATCTTTTTTTTATTTAACGAAACGATTTCCTGGTTTTAGCTAAACTTGGTCTAAACTTCGGTATGAATGAATACATAAATGATGTTCTCGAGTAGGTATAGCGACGGGATTTGATATGCCGAAGGGACTAACGTACACCCAAGTCATAGACAGCCCGTATCGCTTGATTTTGCAATACAAATATCGTGTCTAAACCGGATGCGGAACCTCAAAGTAAGACACCATAAGACATAATACTAATTTAGCTGATGCCTCGTTTGTTAGTTGCCTGTTCATGCGCATGGCAAACACGGCAGCGCTCAACTTCTTAGCTAATTAGTAAATAGGCTTGAAAGTAAGCTATCAGCTCAGCAAGTCATGAAGGCACAATAATTTTCGTCTTCTGTTTTACGAGTATAACCCCATCAGTGAGGCGGCTTCTCTCGGGTTCCGAATGGCGCACTGCCCCCCCCCCCCCCCCCCCCCTGCCATACAACTATGTATAACTAGTAAATCAACGTTCCGAGGCGCTTTTTATGCCGCACTAGCAAGCTAGCACCAATGTACTTTACATACCTTAATGTTATCACTTAAACAAACAATTGAAATATTTGGATAACACCAAAAAGAATGTCGTTTTCGTTTAAACCTCAAGACACACATGAGGTAGGTCGTAAGTTAAGGATAAACGAAAAAAAGCTGCTAGATTCTCCCCTGAACACGCTACTGCTATAATGGTTTTTATGGGCCATAACTCTCATCTGACGTCAATGTTTCGGCGATATTCGGCGATGTGAAAATGGAGATAAATCAACGCCTCGATTTCGCGAAGGGAGCGTGTGGCTGCTAAACCAACAGAGTCTCTTTGTTGTTTTCCTTTTATAGAAATAGTATTTGTTTGAAGTGTCCAGGCCCTAAAAACTGAATTTTCTAGATTGCTTGTCAAAAATATTCAGTGCTTTAGGATTTGAACTTGCACCTTCCGGGTCACACGTCCACGCGCTTAACCAATTAAGCCAAGCGGCCGATGTTATCCGGCGTGCAAATCCCAACATCTATCTACTTTCTTTATTGCATTTTAGCTATTATTTTACTTATTACTTTTTTACTCTAGGCCTTGTACTAATATAACCAATTACTTAAATGTTCCATTTGGTATTTACTAGTGATGTCTCGTATAAAAATATCAACCTCCGTTTTATCTTGAACTCAATGGAACCGCCATTCACAGAAATACAACCAACACCCTGTATAGTTATTATTTAAATATAATAATTATAACATCAGAAATATTATAATAAAAATACCAATATTTTCCGGCAATACTCGAGTCCAGACGATGGTGCGGACCACCGTAACAACTTGACATTATGACGAGCTCCGCAGCAATTTCGAAAACCAGCAATTACGCTTCTCGGATAGAAACTTCGATGAAGCCTCTCTTTTATGCAGCAGTAGGTAATTACAAGTCCCCGCAAAGAACTTGTCGTAGCCCTTTTTCAATCGCATTTAACGAAGTAAAGTTTACCTCAACTTTTATTAAACTGTTAAAGCCATTTTTAACGAGAAATGCTAAATGCCCAGCGGTCCCCGGAAGTAACATTTGACGATATTATTATTATTATAATCGGACATACACTACAAATATACGTGCCGTACCTGAACATTATGCTGTAATAAACATTATCAGAGGTCGTGTAATTATTATGTAATGAAACGATTTCGTACACATAATATAAGTACTCGTGGTACCGCAATTTTTAAAATTTATTTAAGAAATGCAAAATAACAAAATCGTAAAAACTAAGTAACAATGTCAGCCAGATATTAATAAAAAATTTATTGAATTGTTCACAAACGTACGTATTTGATTCATATGATTTTTTTATTGTTATTACTTATTTTCTTATTATTTCATCACTTTATCGTCAAATCGAACATCCCTCTATAGGATTTAGAAGTTGCGATTATGAATACTTCTTTGTAATTCAAAATAAATGATCTGCAAAACTCCGAATTAAAGAATATCGACAGAGCTAACGTGAAACATCGTTGGTCGAAAAACATCGTGACCAGTTGAACACATAAAACCCAAAATTCCTATCCCCATTAATATTCCACAAAATTACATACAATACCAAATATGAACAATATACTGGTGAATAATAATTAAAATTATTATTCATCAGTACATTGTTCATATTTTGTTCATAACCTAGGCTGAGCAAGTTATCGGGTGTAGTCGTGTGTTAAGCGTTCTTGAAAACATTTCCAGAAAAACCAAAGTGCTACCGGCGTTTTAAACCAGTGGACGGGCGAAGGGCTGCCCGCGCCCGACACCGCCACCGCATTTCTCATGCAGATTGGAAAACTTTTCAAATAACCAATTAAATCAAAACCGATACCACCCGGCCCGTCTCGAGAACACAATGTTTAAAATTCATCTCTCCTCATTTGCATCGTTATTTCGCGAAAACAGATATTCAGGAGTCGTTTCGAGCGGCATTCTGCGCCGCCCAACTGCTTCTCGTTCTCTTAACACGGCCATTACTTACTCTTTCTCCATTGTTTTATCAATTATCCCTTACTTAATTTTTATTTTAGGATTATCTGTATAGTTTAAATATAAAATACTAGCTTTTCGCGCGTGGCTTCGCTCTTGTTGAAGCCTCTTAAATAAATATCTTTCTTTAAAAAAAATCCAAAAAAAACTAAAAAATAGCCTATGTCCTTTCTTAGGCTTTAGTAGGTCCTTTCTTAGGCTGTGTACCAAATTTCATTGAAATCGGTTCAGTAGTTTTGGTGTGAAAGCGGGACAGACAGAGAGAGTTACTTTCGCATTTATAATATTAGCATGGATTTCTGATAATATTTTAATCGAAAACGATGATATTTCGTACTCAATAGAAAAAGGATTTGGCTTGTAAATCGAAAACGAGACGTCAAATTTACATGTCGCATTCAAATGATTATTTGTTACTAAATATTTTATTAAAAAAAAACCTGCATTCTAATTGTATTTAAGTGAGCAAATTGCAAAAGTAAAAAAAATGTTTACACAACAATATATTCCTTAAAGATAACTACCGTAACATATCCTCCACCTTTATCCATGGAAGCTTTTCCTATGAAGCAGAGGTCGCAAAGAATTCGAAAGGTATCAAAAAACACAAATAAAAAAATTGAGATGTGTAGGTGTGAATAATTGAAATCGTTCCATAATTCTTTTGAAATGTCGAAATTAACTTCTTTATATGACGTTAGTTCTAAATCAGCTCCCCCTGAGGAGCATTTTATCACCGTCCCATTCATCACATACGGTGGATAGATACGGTGAGATTAATAGAGTCATAAGCATTATCATAGATCTTAGACACGCCATATATTATTTTAAGTCGCTGCAAAATAACATTTGGTCTAGGAAGCGGCGGAATAGACACGGAGACACGGCCGCGACGTGGAGACATGGCAGATTTATGAGCGGATATTTCATCTGCGGCTCGTGGCTGGGGCGGGGGGTGGGGGGGGGGGGGGGGGATGGGTCCTCCCCGTCGTCTGTACCGGACGCTGCCCACGAGCCATTTGAAAAAGCATACTTAAACTGTTATGCCATAACGCTAGTACGCATGGTCGCGTTTCGTTTGTTTTTACGATCTTTATTCATATTTGATGCAACATATTTTCTCGGATGTCGCGTGCCGTGTATAGCAATGAGGCGTCGTGTGCTCGCGCAGAGTCTGGAGGAGCGGGAGAAGCGGCACTGGAGCCATAAGGAGCAGCTGGCGCGCGAGCAGCGCTACTTGCGGCGGCGGCTGGCGCAGCTGCGCGCGACGCCGCGGGACGCGCGCTCGCTGTCGGAGGGCGCGGCGCTGCCTTCCGCCCACGCGCACGCCACCAGGGCCGACTCCTTCTCCTCGCTGGAGTCCTCCTCGGGCGTCTCCACGGCCGAGCGGTCGCCTTCCTCGGTCTCGGAGAGTGGTGAGTCTGTTCTCGGCTTATCCGATCCAATAAGTAAACAAACAAATTTTATGTTATTTCATATGGACAATAGCATGTACTCTGTTGAAACGGTACTTTATGTTCACAAGTTGTATAGAGAAATCTAGGCCTTATCCGTACAGAATTCGACCCATTACACATTGAGCAAACGGAAAAGAGTTTGATAGGTGAAACACATTAGAAAAGTATCGTTTAGATGTCCGATTACAATATATCTTTCGACAAGCGGTTTTACCAACAAATACCACATCACCGAATCGTCTCTGGTGATTATACTATTGAAGGGCCAGATCATCATAATGAAACACAAACCAAGCCATATTATACATACGATATTTATTTCCGCTTCTTTCCTCTCATCTTGCCTTAATAATCCATTAGACTGCTGTTGCAAAAAGTTGACTAAATTGGGTGTTACTGTAGACGAATGGTTGAAAAATGTCTATGTAAAATTAAATTAAAAATTAAACATATCTTCGTAACTTACTTTAAAAATTTGCTTGTCTTAGAAAGTTTCGCTCTTCCATAACGTTTGAAAGTTTAGCTTAATGTATTAAGACTATAATTAATTAAAAGTACATGAAATTTGATAAAAAGAAACGAAGGAGGTTACAACAAAATTAAGGAAAACCCGACTAAGTGCGAAACGGACTCGCGCACGAAGGATCTCATGCCATAATCTGTAAAAACGGCAAAAAATAAATGAGTCTCTTGTATGGGAGACCTACTTAAATATTTTTTAATCTGTTTGTTAGTATTTTTTGTGAATGCGACAGCAAAATACATCATCTGTGAAAATTTTAACTGTTTATCATGGTTCATGAGATAGCCTGGTGACAGACGGACAGACTGACCGACAGCGGAGTCTTAGTAATAGGGTCTCGTTTTAACCATTGGGTATGGAACCCTAAAAATGAGTGAGTGTGCGTTATTGATATTTTTTTATTTTCAATGTAAATTGATTTATTCACACACACACACGAATAAAGAAAGCTAAATTAGATGAGGTTCCAAGATTAGAGATAGGGTCCAAGTATATAAATCATCGAAAAGCTTAGATCTAATTAAAGGACGAGGTCCTGATAACATCTCTGCCATCTTTCTTCACAGGAATTAAGATTCCTTATCAATGACATCATCGTTCGTCTTCTAATAAAACCCGCTAATGTGGAATGCTTTTTTAAACATTAGTTAGTCTGTAAGTTAGTGCGTAACGTTTAGTGCATGCTGTAGAGTTTTTTCTATAAATCATGAGGCGATATACTCGTGTTCCTGTATTTATTTATTCTTTGTATCATTTATGTTTTTGGTACTATACTTGTATAGTTATATACTTGTGTACTATACTTGTATACTTGTGTACTACTTAGTCTTTCTCTTTAGCAACTAGAGAACTCAATCCAACCCAAAGACACAGAAACGACACGCTGGGGAGCCCGATATGATTCAAAATTGCCTTAAATTAGGACCTTAAATTGCAACGCGACGCCGGACCTCCTTGAGCCACCTCCAATGCCGACGTTAACGTCCCATAAAGAATCTAATTTGCCCTCCAATTTGAACGGAATTGAATTTCTTTACGCGTCAAATGCCTTATGAGATTTTAGTTTCATGCAAATAGATTTCATGTATTTTCAATTAATCTCTGAAGCGTTTACAGGGAGGATTTTTGAGAAGTGCCCAAATTTACACAGGAGTATAATCGTTATTCAGTAAAACGTAATTCGGTAGTATAATCGTTTATTGAAATAAAAAACAGTTTTTTTTCCAAAAAAAAAAAAGCTATTCTATTCCCTAAAAACAGAACGTGTTGACAATGCGGTAGACATTCATAAATACCTAAATTTCACTTGTGTGCGTGTTAGTTATGAATGATCGCGCGTAAAATAAATGAGTTGCGTATAAATCACGCACTTTTCGAGATAAGTTCAAATGAATGTAATTGAGTAAGTGATTTTAAATATTTATAATTTTTTATAGAACATTATTTATGTTTAGACTTTAATAAAAAAAAAATGGATACACTTAGAAAAGCCACCCTGTATCCATATATTATCACCTTTATCAATATGAACATAAGCGTAAAAACGTATAGATAAAACTGTCGCGACATTTTTCGCCGCCACCAGGATTCGTATCTGCACTATTTCTGTTTGAGGTTTTACCAACTTTGTTCTTATTGCATTTCTAGCAATGCTTGCGTTATCTAATGTGATTCTTTTACGTCAAGCACACTTTTTCAAATTACACGTTTACAATGAATATTTGAAAATTTAATTTTTCAAGGCACAAATCCGAATCCTGGCAGTGGCACAATTTTTGCGACAGTTTAACCTAAATTTAAAGTTTCTCCTAAATGCTGAGACTATCACTTAAAATTACAAATTAAATGTAAGCGTTGCACGGAAATCGCATCGTAATAGAATTAGGATTTCGTAGAAACTATAATTGTGATGAGTAACGGTGTATGATTAATTTTAGTAGTCCTAAACATGTGACGATTAAAATTTATTTCACTATGATGCTCTTGGTGCTGCATAAATTGTCGTGACAAAAGTATTAACGCTTTTGCTTTGTAAGTTGGATAAATGAGGTATTTGGAGACCCATATGCCGTTAGCCTTTGAAATTATATTACCTATTAAGAGAACTGCTTCGAAAAGTACATGAAAAAATCGTGAGTAATACTTTTGTAGGTATATTAAGTGTAAATCCCTACTCGTATTACTTGGCATTGTTAATTACGACTCCAAGAATTGCCCCCTGGAGCTGGCGTGGGGCGTGTGCCGTGACGTCAGCGGCCGGGAAGCAACGGGATTTATGGGCGGCCGACACCGGCAATCTCTAAATTATCGGATCGGGATTTATCGCCCCACCGTCAGGTGCTCTCTCGCTCTGTGCCCCGTCTTTGACTGCACACAGAGGGAACAAATACGCAATTCGTTAGTGTTGATTATTTAGTGCTATGAGTGAGAATTAGCTACGAACACGATTTAACGAAAAACAATATCAAAATCCTCATTGGGGTAGCAGGACCTTTGAAGGAAAATTTCATGATTTCACTAACCTGATTAACTTGCACGCATTTCTTAACCTTACAATTCTTATACAAATTATTGGATTATAGGGGTATGTGTTTTACTATTAGTATCATAATAATATATATTAACCAACTTTATTAAGTTCCCCTGACTAGTAATGATCATATAGCCCACTTTATAAAAAGGTGGCATCGCATCTGCCACTGCAACCCTACGGGGGTTGCAAATGTCCATGGGCGGCAGTTACAACTTAAAATCATGTGAAACGCCAGCTCGCTTCCCACCTTCTCACATAAAACAATATATAGATTCTATGTTTGAGAGCATCCACCGACGCATGCCCAGCCAGTGGTATTACTTCCGAAACCGTAGATGCTTGTTGATTTATAATGAAGGCTTACACTTTATGTAACCCTCCCTTATTTATATATTTTTTTGGAGACATAGCACTGCATTTTAAATATTTATGACTTATCCAGTCTCCTTTACTTTCCAATGAAATAACACAATATACGTCAATTCTTGTAACAAAATAAATAAGAAGATTACTAAAGTGATCAACCGTCTAGCTGCTAGATGGCTGACCTGTCAGGCTTATGATAAAAGTTTTGAATTTTGGAAAGTAAACAAAACCTAAAGCAATGAAAATAAAATACGTTGCGATTATCGTCGATGTGGCAATTAGCCGTTTAGCTTAATAGTTAAAGCGTCTGGGCGCAAGTCCGGAAGATGTGGGTTAGTTAATTTCGACCACTTTTTCTACCAGGTTTAATGATTCATCTTAAGTGCAGAGATTAGCATTAAAGAGATTTAAAATTACCTGTAAGGGATAATCGTTTAGCTGTATTTTTCAACAGCTTAGTTGTTACAATTGAACGTTGCAGATGAGGTAGACGTGATCGGCTACACGTCTAACCCCAGCGATTGCGAGTCGATGGTCTCCGGCCACAGCGGCGACAGCGGCGTGCCGCGCAGCGGGACGCGCTCCAGGTTCGCTGATGCGCTCTCACTTTCTCACTCTGCCCTATCCCTCTTTTTCATCCTTTCTCCCACTCTATCTTTCTATCTTTTCCCCCTTTCCTCAATCTTTTATTATACACTTATTGTAAATGCTGCAAAGATCGAGTTTCATGACTGAATCATCATCATCACAATTTCGGTCCGCCAGAGTCCACAGCTGAACATAGGCCTCCCCACAGGATGCCACAAAAATTTTGTTGGCAAAGAAACGTATTCAAGCAAATCAGTTAGCTTGCACTTTTTGCAATCTCTTGTCGTCAGCTGTATTTATCAATCGATAATAGTTAGGAACGGTAAATAAGAAAGCCTTTGCTTAAGGGCACGCAACGCAGGTACAACTCCTGTGATGTCACGACTGCACATGTCGCGTCGCCTATGGCCTTCTTAACCCAGCTGGTGGTGATCATAAATATTAAAAAATACTTAATGGGCATATTTTAAGAGAGTGAAAGCGATGAATAAATCAGAACATTTTTTAACGAAAACATATTTATAGCATTCTTTTTAACTACTTTTAAAATGAATTTAAATTCCTGCCGTTTTGCAAACTGTAGCTTGCAAGTTCACCAGTAAAATATATTCATTTATAATTTTCGCGTTCCAACAAGCAAGATCCTTACTTATTACTCTTTCATTTAGTTTTATTAGTATTAACCGTATATAAACAATTTAGGCAAATAATTTGCATCAATTAGGTAACAACTCGGGATATCTCCGGCAAAAGCCATGCATTGGCTTTTGCTGTTGGCCCCAAACGATGTGATGGGAATATATGCAACATTGGGGGACGTTATGTTAACCTGACAAATGAGTTGCAAACCTTTAAAAAGTAGTAAGTAGGCCCCACAAGCGGTTACACATTCGTACGAGGAAAGCCGCAAGTAGCTGCTGTGCGTACTGTAACGCATACGGCACCCATTAAAGAGCGCGCCTTGGGTTACAGGTGGGCGAGCGCGCAGAGGCGGCCTGCACAGCCACTCTAACTTGCGCACCGGAACTTCCCGACAGTATAACAATCGTAGGACATTTTGTTGGTATATGTACTAAGGCGACTGTTGTTTGTGACTGAGCGGGGCGCGCCCCACCGCACCGCCCCGACACGCCGCGCGGCCGCCGCAACGCGCCGAGGCCGACACGGACACGCATGCGAACGCGCGCAAACACACACACACACACACACACACACACACACACACATGAAGACACGCAGACACGTTCACACACACCCACATAAACTCACACTTAACAACGTCACACCTCCAGCAAACTGAGTACAAAATTGCCAAAAAATATTCAGTGTTTATATTCTTAACTTTTTTCTCTTGACTTTTTAATTTTTTTCTACGCTCAAAATTATGGACTTTATTGTTTTCTTTATTCAATTCGATACATTAGTAATATCCTGCCATAAGCATTGACTGCTGTATCTATCGTGTAAAAATCCTACCGATGTTACAGGGTGGGTTTACGTCTCCTTGTATACCGTAAACCAAAGCCATGCTGTATAAAAAATATGGGTCTCGTTATCATTCATTCCCTTCTACTTTGTAAATTATATTTTCAGACTTGATAAATTCTTCTTTCCTCTTCATAGTACTACCCATAAAGAATCTGTTCGCGATGACATCACAATTTCACTCCACGCTTCAAAGCTACCTTTATTAACCGGTGCACATTTAATTTCATTTATTGTCTATACGAATATAATGTTGTTTTTCCTTTCGTTTATTTTATTTCGCAAATTTATTGCATGTATTTTACTATCTCTCAAAAAAATTTATAAAACAAGTCTAAGTACTTATTGTTAATTATTTCCACGATATGTCGCTTAATCGGCGAAAGTTGTATAGATAAATATCAATTTTATATTTTGTATATAATATTTTTTTCTTGTATAAATTAATAAAATAGAATTAGATCTGCGAGTGTTGGGCGGCCGAGGACCGTTGCCAAATTGTACTGTGGGGGATCATTTCATCACACAGCCAACGGAAACCCACCAAAACGTCTAAATTTAAGCTCTAACCATTTTCTTTTTTATTCGGTTACTGACTAACATACGCTGTTTCAAAAGCAGCGGTTTCAGACTCATATGCCATTTAGACGACAAGTTCTGCGATAAAAGTGACGTATTAAGGTACCTAAAATGTCCAACAACGCTGACTAACATCGTATTTTTAAGTATTAATTTTGAATATTAATGATCTCACTTCAATGTCGCGCGTCCACCTGAGTAATGTGTCATTTCTGCTTTGTTAGACTTTTCGTTCTAAAACTAAAAATTATATATTAAATATTTGACAGCAGGAGTAGTCTCTTGTATGAACCAACTGTACAACTGATTTACGAAAAAAAAATGTTTGAACACGGCGCGAGGTCTATTTACCTCCCTCCTCCGTTTTGAAACATTTCACAATAGCAAGTCACCAAATATACAGTTCAACATGTTTCCATGTTCTATCTTTGTCCATTGGTGTAGAAAAAATCTGTGTTACAATTAATTGAATATTTGATTATAACCATGTCAAATTGTAAATTTTAAATTCGAACGACCAATTTAATTGTCTCTCCTACTTTCTAAAACCCGATGGAGTCAAATGACGTTATTACTCTAAAGGGCACCCAGGTTATATGGACCCATACCAAAATCTATGCGAACGTGGAACGAAGAGCTGACCAATACCTAAGCCGTGCCGGCATAGATCGTTAGGGGCGACCTCTAAGAAGAGTACACAATATATTTTGTTATAATTATTGTATCTTATGATAATAAATTGTTAATTCATTTTATAAAGATTCAAGAGCGGTTTTCATTGTACGATAAACTCATTTCGATAATTTACGAGGCCATGTTCGAGAGCCCATTGCCTCACGTTTAAAATTATTTTTTTGTCACCCCTTCCTCCTCCCAACCCTCCCCAATCTGCCCGGTCCGTTAAACTGTTCGGGCTTGGTAAACGTTCAAACATTGTATATTCTTTTAAGATATGGATGTTACGATAAGCATAGTTATATATGTATTATCATTAGTAAGTTTTAAAGTTTGTTTTAGAAATGACATTCTGATCTCTTAAGTTTAAATTGCGTTCTCAGTGAGCGGCAGAGCCGCGTGTGTCCGTCGAGCATCACCCATACGAAAACACACACACACACACACACACACACACACGCACGCACACGCACATACACACACTCAACACACACTCCAAATTACACAAGGAAAATGCTTACATAATTGTTGGCATCAGTTTGTCGCGATACTATTCGTTAAATTGGGTCCATCTGTACCTAAATGAGCCCGGGAATAATAACATGAACTACAACGTTGTTTAAACGAATTAGGTACATTTCTCTCAATGCCTTACTTTATTGTGTCAGTTTGCTATTTATATTTCCGTATCGCGGTAAGTTGATGCCTTAAAATTCTTGTTCATTTTGCTCGGGTTTGCTCTTACTATCTCTCCATTTAGTTATTTTGATGAAAAAAATTAAGGAAGAAAACTAGAAAACCATCCAGGCCAGTAACTAGCGTACCCAAAGGGTCGACCGACACAAGAGATAGTTTATCTGTAGATATTAAGGTACGAGAGGGCCGATGGCTACACGCCTCTGTCAAATCCTGCCTCGACTATGTCAATATATTGAGAAAGAATATTTATCTTTTGGAAATTATTTATATCTATCACGGAATTTATTTAATTTATTTGAAATAAGAATCGCATCGTCAGTGTACTCTGTCCGGGGCCTTTATCAGAGAGGGGCGTTATTTAGCGGACGGGCGCTTCGAGAGTACAAATTGTGTATATTAATTGGTAGGGCACTGCCGCGGAGTGCGGTGGAGGTGGCGCTTTGCCTTCGATGTTGTCTCCTCCCTAACTAAATCTGATCTGTATCCTATTGCTACAGTGGATTTGATTTGCATTCTCCTCCGACTGTTCACTTCACACTTCTCTCGTAGATGGTATCGAGCTTAGATCGCTCTATGTAAGACGGACGCGTCACTGTAACGATAGGGTATTGGAAATGGTGCGTCGCACTGTACGCGCGCACCCCCTTATTAGGCAAGGAGTCGTGTTCTTAGAAAGGGATCGCCCGCCCCGCCCCACCCCGCCACATCCATTTACATCCGATCTGGCGTTGTAAAACAAAATACGAACGTTGATTTTGTAAATATTTGGAGCTAAAAATGTTTTTATATAAATTATTTGGTAAATATATTCTTGGGGGCGGCGGAGGGCGGGGCGAGCGCACAGACCCCGCCATCACCACCGACCTTGCACCCGCTCCTCACATTTCGTCGCGTCTCAAAGTATTCTCAATACGGAAGCTGATTATAATATATGATAATACGCGGAAAATCTTTCGAAGTTTTGGGTGGCTGATTTGTTTTAAGAAAATTCACGCCACCACTGAATGCGGACCCAGAAAGCGCAAGGCGGTAAGGCGCATTTTGCTAGAAATGTCAGTTGTTTACGGGTGGGGGAGATGGGTGGGGGTGGCGTCGGAAAGCGATCATGAGCCACTGTTACGACTACTGCTAACAGGAATTGGCAGCATTATTCAATGTAATTGACGAAACGTGGCACATATTATTTACTATGTGTAAAAAGTTATAGAATTAATTTAATAAAATTATAATTAAAATGATGATGTGTCTCATTTCACGCCTGCCCCCATTTATTTAGCGATACATTGTAAAATCAAAATTGTACTGTCACAAGATCCAGACCTTAAGAAAAATATTACGCATACATGTTTCAGTGGTTGAATATAACTAAAAACTCTATATAAAAACAGCCACTGACGCTATAGACCAGGGGTAAGCAACTTTTTTAATCAATGGGCCAATATAAATTTAATTTTTTTTTTTGCCGGGCCGCACATAATTTACGAAACTGTATTTATAATAAATATTAGAATAATAAAATATTAAAAAAAAGTAAAGATTTCATATACAAGTTTTAATGCAAACAAACAAGACGAATGAAAAAACGAACAAAAAATATTTCGGTTCAGTATGTACTACCATTTTATTATAATTAATTTTATAACAATACTAGCGGCCCGCCCCGGCTTCGCACGGGTATTTAACAAAAATTTTAAAACTAAAAATTATCATACACATAAGATATTCCGAATATTTCGTCTTTGGTGAATAATTTTATGAATTTCTTCATCTTTTAATGAAATACCCTTGAAATTATGTCATGAAGATCGAAAGACCGCTGACCAGATAATGGTTCCGCTTTAATTACGGGACATTCGGGGTGACACGTAAAAGTGACAAAGAAGTCTGGTCTCCCATAGCTTCGGTCATAAATCATCGCATCTTTGGTTTTTTTGTTGAACGATATTTGATGAGCCAATGTCTTGATTTAAAGCGTCTCTAAGATGAATCTTTCACCAGCCCTCAGTCTCTGGTGATTACGACATCATATTTAATTCAATCTTTATGATATCTTTTTGCCATCATATCGACAATTTATTGAATAAAAACCGGCCAAGTGCGAGTCGGATTCGCACACGAAGGGTTCCGTACCGACCTTACAGAAGACCGGCGTAAAATAGAAGTGTTATACTTCTACGTTTCGTCTGGTGAGAGAGGTAGCCGGGGCCCACTTTATTTAAAGATGGCAACTCATTTGCAACCCTACAGGTGTTACAAATGTCCATGGGTGGCGGTTATTACTTAACATCAGGTGAACCCCCAGCTAGTTTACCACTCTATCACTCTATCACCATTAAAAAAAATCATGTTTTATTATCTTTATTCAATATAGAAGTATTACACTTACATATTGTCAAAAACACTACTACTGTCAACATTATCTATAAAAACGGCAAAAAAAATCATGTCTGTTTTATTGGAGCCCCACTTATTTATATATTTTTGTTTTTTAGTATTTTTTGTTATAGCGGCAACAGAAATATATCGTTTGTGAAAATTTCAACTGTCTAACTATCACGATTCATGAGATAC